CCACGCACCCCTCTTGGCACTCACTTCGCCTCCATCCCTGGCTGCTGCTGTGGGGCATAGCGTTTGGCAGCCTGCTGTCAATTAACCCCAGCGCACAGATTCTCTTCCTCTTTTCCCTTAAAGTAAGTTGGAATTGAGGTTGCTAGGTTTCACTTGGTCTTCCATTTCCTCTAGTTTATAGTGCCTCTTTTTTTTTCTTTCTTTCTTCCAGTGTAGATATAGACTTAGAAGAAATTTAGCTTACTGAAAATTGATTTAATTTTCTTAGTTATCTTTTGTGGATCCCTTGGAAGAAGCCTGTGGGTTCTAGGTAAACACTGCTATTTTATTCAGTGTGGTTGGTTTGGGGTGGTTTTTTTTTCCCTGTCATTCAAATAGAGCAATCTTTTGAACTTCCTAACCAGGAACTATATAAGCTACAGTTTGCCTTTCAGTGTGTGTGAAAATTTGTAGACTGTCTTCAGAGCATGCAAAAGGGCCTTCCTTTCAGAGGCTTTAAGCAATTAGACTTTAGGCTACCTTTAATTAATTTCTTTTTATTGTTACGAGACAATGCTTGGAGCATGAAAAATAATCACAATTGGTTCTGTATGTTTCTGTGACTTGTTAATGACTGATGGTTGAATGACTTGGTCTTTAGGTTTTCAAATTTTTGCTAGGAAGAAACCTAGTCCTTGGTAAATGTTATTAGTCATAGATTTGGGGACCTTCTAGAACAGTATCATCAGAAGAGATGAGTGAATAAGAGGTAAACATTTTTCTCAGGCTTTGGGCAAGTCTTAGTTTGTATTGTTTTGAACTTCAATAACTAAAAATCTGGGCTACAGAAAGCTTTTTCCTATAATCCAGCCTTTCTTTCTCTAGTAATTAAGTGTGTGAACTCATAGTGAGCATGCCCTGAAATCTCTAATTAACCTTTCCTCTCTCCCAAATCACACCTCACTTGGCAAGAAACTTTAAGTGGATAAAAAGCAGTGGAGAACATTTGGGACTTATTTTATATAGAATAAAATATTTAAGGCAAATATTTAAAATATCTTTCACAGACTTCCTGTAAAGGCCATTTGGCAGGAATAGGTGTCAGTAAAGATTTGGGATTAAATAACAATACAAACCATAATACCCTAGAGAATGAGGGATATCTTTTTTTTTTTAACAGGGAAAAAAAATCAACACACCTGATAGTGAGAAAGAATCTTTTCTGTTCAGTGGTTGTCATTAAAAGACAAACACAAAATAAAGTTCAGTTCATGAATAAGCACAAGCATGGCTTGGCGGACTTTGCCTGTGATAGCGTATCTTAACTTTTTTCTATCTGCTGCCTCCTGTGGCTTATGAGAAGTCAATAGTAGAGATGCTGTCTGCCAATTATATTCTACAGGTGCAAGCACTTCTGAGATAAATTTAATTGCCTGAAACCAGTTACAAGGTCTTATACCGAGTCTTAAGTTTTCAGTGTCATATATACAGGTGGTCATGATGGGTATTGGAATGTACAGCTTTCAAGAGGGTAAAAGAATCTATAATGTACAAAAGCTTTATATATCAGCTTCAAACTTACACTCCAGATCGTGTAAGATCTGGATTGACTAAAAGTATGTTTTCTTTTAGATGACTTGAGTGTGTTCCTGAACAGCCAGGCCCTATTGCACCGAGAAGTGATTTGCACAGGTAAGGAAAATCTTCTGTACAGTGTACTGCCAGGATAAAGATTTCAAATGAAAGTGTGTATTCCGTAACTTGTACATCAGGAAAATACCTATGACAATGCTTTCTTTTATAAAAAACAATTTAATTTTTTTTCTTGTTCTTATGTTCTAGAAAACATAGTCATCACATGACAAACAAAAGAGGTTTAATGGAGATGGCTTTGCATTTACCTAACTCAACCCATTAGTAGAAAAATAATAGCTGAAAATTGAGCCTTCTAATGTTTGAATTATAAATGGTGTCATTCACACCTGGTCATCTAAGAATTCAGAACAACTCCAGCAAACTAGAACTTATTAATTAAAACTTCTGAGAAATTTGGTTTCAAAAGGATTTATCTTTACTTTGTTTTTCCCTCTCCCTCCCTTTTAAAAAAAAAAAAAAAAAAAAAAAAAAACAAAAAAAGGCATGGGATAGAATACAATTCATATGTATCATTCCCCAAAGCAGATAATGGCTGAGGTATAAAATGTCAATTATTCATGAAAAATAAATGTCTACAGTTAGTTTGAAATCCTATGTTTGGGTCTGTCTGTGAACACAGTGAAGCACTAGTCAAGGTTTTTAGGTCTGGGAAGTTTCTGATTAGGGCCATAGCACAAAAACTACACCAGAAAGTGCATTGATTTGTTGGGGGTTAACATTTAACACCGAGATCTTTATGACTTGGATAATTTTAACAACAAAAAACAAACAGGCTGTGAGGAGAACTTACGGAAAAATATGCTCCCTCCTTGCATTTGGGTAAGGTGTACTTAGAAAGAGATGCATTTCGGAAGACGTATTGATACCTGGATAAGCCTTTTTCAGACTTCTCCCAGCTTCAGAGAAGGCTTTTCAAGGAATGATGTAAAATTTTATTTTAGTCATTTTACATATTTATATCACAATTAGGATTCTTCTAAAAATATCACTTTGACAATAGAAACTTAATTTTAGTCCTTTTCACTGAATTTACCCCATGTCACCTTAAAAATACAGTAATGTACTTTTTCTGTTTCCTTGGTGTACAATGAAGGATTTTCTGGGTTTCTTGTTGTTTTTCTGCCTTGTGTTTTTCTTTCTCTGTTTTTTCTTTTTTTTTTTTGTTTGTTTTCCTCCTCCTTTCTGGCAACGGTAGTATTTGTAAAGCTGACCTGCTTGCTGAGGTAGCTGATGGAGAATTGCATCATCTTTTAACTATTCCTTGATGAAAGCTGTGTAAGTGCAGAAAACATGCCTTTATATTTTGACGACTGAAACTTGAAGATGGAACCTTTCTGTTTCGCCGCGGGTTAGCACGCGCAGGCTGTCCCACCAGAAGGTCTAACAGCAAGGTGCTACTTGAGACGAAAACCGTGTCCCCTGTTAGTGGGCACGTGCGCACGTGCTTAGGTCTTGGCCGCAGCTTCTTGGAGCGAGGGCAGGTTGGCTGGGGTTTATTTTTGTTGGGATGAAACGCTTAGTTTACTTTGTGTATGCTGTTCAACAGCCATGCTTTGTGAGACTGGGTGGGAACAACCTGTTCTTTGCTGTTACAAAGGAGACAGGGTCTAACTGGACTAAAATTACTGGGGGGGGGGCGGGGACGGCGGAACACAAGGTCATTGTGCTTGTGACTTATCAGGAACAAGCTTACCTCTCCTTCCCTAATTTAGAAAAGATTTGCTGGTTGTTGACTGTGTATACGAAATCTGAGTGGTCAACTTTCTTTCTGTTAAGAGTAAGGGAAACTTCGGATAGGTTTGCAACATACAAAGTTTGCATAAGTTGGCTTCAATTTTCAGCATGCTTCTCACCAAAATAAAAACCAAACAAGCTTGGAAAACTTATGGCTAAAATGTAAATACATTTTAAAAAAATTTACATCATGGTTGAGGCGAGACTGACTTGCAAAATTTTTCCCTCTGTAATGCTCCTATAAACATGACTGTACTAATACAGGTTTATAGAAGGAAATAGTATTGTTCTCGGAGGACCCCATATAGCTTTGGTGTAGATCAAAGAATAAAACCTAGTAAAATAAATTCTGTGTAAACAAGATTCATGTGATAAGCAGCATGACAAAATTTACATTCTGTTTTTAAAACAGTATCTAGGAACCTGGCAGATGAGTACGGAGGGTTTGTCCATGTGTTAATGAACTATACCGGATGAGGCAGAGAAGTGACCGTGTGAGGGACTAGTAACACAGGCAGTCTTAATGCAGTGAACAGAAACAGTAGTTAACTCTTAGAAGAAAAGAAGATACTTCCATTTAGGGTGTGAAGGAGGTTATCGGCTCTAGATACACTCCCTTCAGAATCAAGTTAGTTTATTAATTTCAAAATCAAATGTAAAGCAGTTCAGTGGCCTCCTCGAGCTCAGATCACACCCTGATTAAGAAACAGCTGCATCTAATTGATGTGGTAATTCATGTCTCTCAAGCCTAATATTTTGGTTTCTCTTCCCAGGCAGATGCTCTGCATGCTTGTTTAACCTTTCATTTTAGTATTAATAATGTGTTTTATTAATAAAAACAAGAAGTCTCGAAAGATGCTATCGACTTACAGAGTTAGTCACGCATGTCAGCTAAGCTTCATGTAGCCAATTCAATTTGTTTGTGTAATTTTAGCAGTGTCTTATAATAAATGTTATTTTAATCAATTTATCAGTTGATAGATCTGAAATGTATCAACAGCAGCTGAGCTCATCCGTTGCAGCAGCTACGATCCTTTTTGTGTGACTGCCTTCCTTTCAATACTAACACTTATGTCTCCTGTATGATACTAGCAGGGAAGAACGTGAAACAAAATAATCTCATTGAGCAAAACAAAATGAAAATAAGATTAGGAATATATTGGACACAGTGTAGTCCTCACATCAGTCCAAATTAGGAGAATCTCTCTATTTAAAAACTGTGGAGATTCAAAGTTGAAAATGGGATGATAATTAGATGGAGTTAAGCTAAACAAATTGAAGGTATGCTTATTTGGTAAGAATAATTTGACTGCAAACTGGATCTAGTTCAGAGCTAGCAGGATTCCCAGATTTTGAGCAGAGGCTTGAATGCTGCCAAACCCCTTGAAGGCAGAGCATTTGGCAACAAAGAAAGATATATTTGGTCCCCAAATGCTAGTGTTCTGGTCTAGACAGTTACTGAATATTTCTCAATTATTGTCATCATCATTCTCTTCAATCAAATTAGGAGTCTCTGATATGATAGTAAAACAAGACACAGATTGTCTCCAAGGCACACTAAATACTGCTTTGGTTTCTGTTCTCCCCCTGCAATGTTTAGTAATTACCAACAGGTTAAATTATAAGACCACATCTTACCATTAACTTGATAGTTGCTCTGAGCCAGCATTACTAGAAGGATGTACAGTAATATCCTTTTTATCAACATGACTGGAGGATCCTTCATTCTCTGGGCATGGTAGAGAGAAGACGTTCCCGTGGGTTTAAAAAGTGCAGTTCAGATGGCCTCCTGCCAGGCTAACCCAGGTGCACGTCTGAGCTGGTTCCCTCTTCTAGTTCTTCTGCCAAGACAGTGCAGGGAGGGGGAGGAAAGCGATGTCTCTGCTGCTGTCTCTGATCTGATGGGCTACACAGTTGTCTGTCGTCTTTTTTTTTTTGTGTGGTTGAAACATGAACTGCTTGATCATTTCAGAACTCCTCTGCAATTCAAGGCAAAACATCTTTCACCCTTTTCTGGCTCCCCTTACAGTGTAATAAACACAGCTGTGGATTTTTTTTTTTTAAAGCTGCTCCTGCAATTGAGGTTTTCATTTTACAAGCAGTTATATAGCAGAGAGAAGGGATGCACAACAGTATTTTAAACTTGTTCAGTTCTTGTGTATTACTCTAATTCAACATTAACAAATTAAGAAGCTGAACAAATTCATTATTCACAAGCTGGTAGAAACACGTGTCTGAATAGTCTTAATTTGCATTAGATGAATTTACAATAATCTGCACAGTAAGAGATGATTGCTTCTACTGTTTAGTCTTAGCATCCTCGTAACACAGGGACAAGTAATTTGGGTTTGGATTTTGTGGGTTCTTTTTCAGTATGTCCTCGATACCTTTTCCCCCTAAATATCTCTAGAATACTGAACCATTTAGCTGAACCTTCCCAAAAAAATTCCACCAATGGAGAGTTTCTTCATAAAGTTAGAACCAAAGTAAGGTTGAAGAAGAACTTTGTATATAGCAATTATCACTTCTGCTTATAATGCAAATACAACAACCACAAACAGAAACTAGGGAAGAAATTAATGAAATCCTGTGTTAAAATGAGGAGGTTTAGGCTTGACATTAGGAAGCATTTCTTTTCCAAGAGGATGGTCAAACACTGGAACAGGCTTCCTAGAGAGGTGGTAGATGCCCCAAGCCTGTCAGTGTTTAAGAGGGCATTTGGACAATGCTCTTAATGCCATGCTCTAACTTGTGGTCAGGCAGTTGGACTAGAGGATGGTTGTAGGTGCCTTCCAACTGAACTCTTCTGTTCTAAATATTTCAAGATTTCTAGACAAAATATATGCATATTATGCTCTAATAAAAATCCAAATTATCTGGATTTTTCCAAAGTAATATTTTGGAGAAAAAAGTTTAATAGCTTTCCAAAATTTTGTGGTTGGAAGCGTCTGGCTAAGTATGTGATCAGCAGAATCACACTGATGTTTGTGAGAAACTGAAAAAGCCTTACAAAAATTACAAACCGGTCTAAAAGGAAAATATTTACAACAGAAAAGTCCTTGAGTATAACTGCACACGCAGCATGCTTCCAATTGAGGCAAAATAGTAGTACCGCAGGTTGCATTTCTGTAGAGTGAAGACATCTAGTGGCTGAATCCACAGCTAGCTTGGACAGTAAAATTGGTCATTAAGGGATGCCCTTCCCTGCAGTGTCACTTCTGCTTGTGATGATGTTGTTATCCTAAGGTTATGCTAGGAATGTAGTATTAGTAGTTGGTACTTAATCTCTGTGTTCTTATTAGAAGAACTGTCTTGGGCTGAGTCCTTTGCTGCTGACTGAAGCTTTTTAATAAGACAAGTTTTTGTCTGCTCTCCACAGTGTTTTGAGATTGGCTTTCTAGTGCAGAATTCCTAGTTGGTAACTTTGTGGAAGTATTTTGAACTGTAAGACAGTTACTGTCATACATGAGCCTTTCAGGAGAGGTTGGGTGGGTCAGAGTGGCAGGAAGGAGCACGTATTTCCTGTACCGCATACAGTATGTGGCTTGTGAGGATTCTTTACTTTGTATTTTCAATAGTAAATATCTCGAACACTCATCTATGTTTTTGGAGCCCTTTTTTTAAAAAGCCTTTGGCAAATGTGACTTCCACTACCACTGCTGACACTGCATTATTTCCTTTATCTCCTTTCTGCTTAAAAGTAGGGAGTTTAGTGGGTTTGTTGTTTTGGTTTGGGTGTTTTGTTTTTGGTTTGGGTTTTGTTTTTTTGTTTGTTTTGTTTTCTTGGGTTTTTTTGGTTTGTTTTTTTTTTTTTAGAATCTGCTGGAAGATGGCAAAGAATCTGAATCGTTCCTGTTTTCTCATTAAGACTTTATCACCTCCTTGAGACATTCCTGGGAGCTTTTTTATTTTTGTGATACTATTAAGTTATAAATGAGATCTTTTAGATCTCCAAACGGTAACTTATATTCCAATTTTTTGAGAAAATCAGTCCATGAATTTGAGACACTAAAATATTCTAGTTTTGCTTTAAAAGCATGTTTCAAAGGATAGTAAATATTAAGTAAATATAAAACGACTATTTACCAAAGAAAGGAATGAGAGTCCTAATCTAAAACTGCATAACTAGGAGAGGAAGGAGCATATACACTTCACTCAAGATGAGATACCATTTGAAGATGGCAGAAAAAGACATCACTAGATGGCACTGATTTCCACTATCTGCAGTAACTCAGTAACTTCTTTGCTATATGCAAATCAGACCTCAGCTGAACCCTAACAGATACCAGGTATTCAAAGAACTAAGAATTCAGTGCAATCCAAACACAACAATTAGCACAGTTCCGTGTGCGTTGCATACCATTTTCAGGAAGAGGCTCAAAAAATATAGATTAAAACTCGGACAGTCTTAAACACCTGAGGATTGCTGTTAATAGAAACTTTCTTCGCTTGATTCAGTCAGCTTTGTCATGTCTGCTGCTTCTTTACTGAATGCAAGTGGGGGGGGGTGTGTGTGAAAAAACCACAACCTTATGTAATGTTCCTTCTGTTGCACCTCAGCTTGCCTCCTGGTAAGACTAGGTTGTGTGTTGGGGTTGCATTTTCCCCTTGTGCAGGTGGTTAGGCATTGGCCTCCAACCACGGAGAGAGATACGGCACTTAGATAGTAGGCTCCAGTAAGTCTGCTGAAAATTAGCTTCATTTACACTACATGAAGAAGCTTTAGTATCTTCAAGGAACAACAATAATTTAGCCTCCCATCCAGCTCCTTGCCTGTCACCAGCGATCGTGCAGCTTGGAGCAGCACGTGCTGCCGCGTGAGCTACGAGTGGCCCCTGCAGCCTCTTCCCGCGTCTTACCACTGTAGCTCCCTGTTAAAGGAGGGATCCGTTACTTCATTTCTACGCAAGTCCTTTCCTTTTTTCACAATATGAGGTTCTCTGCCTCTCCCTGCTTTTTCCTAAGCAATTTCAGTTTAATGAGGCGAGCTAAGCTTTGTTAACGAACACACCTTGCACCAGGTTCTAAAGTGCAGCCCGAGCATGGGCCTGGACGCTCTTACAAGGGGTGTCAGCTCATTCAATATCCAGTAGGTTAAGGATCTGCTTGGGGTTTTGCTGTATATAAAACACTTCAGTTAGTGTAAGCATGGGTATTCTAGTTACTGGATTTGCCTTACAGTAATGACAGGCTTCAGAAATAAGGAGAGGGAGCAATTTAAAGCTAATTACAAAAGAATTAAGGTAAGGAGGTCTCACTGCAGTGAAATCTAATACTGAATTTGGGAGCTATTCTGTACACTGAAGGACAGATTAAAAAAACACTTGAGGCA